TGTCGCCCCACGATTAGATTAGGTATCGTGTAAGCTTTAATGTCTAACCAAAGTTTAAGATGTCCAAAGATTTTTAAAATAGCTCCAAAACTAAGTGAGGTATAAAGTTAAAACCTTTACAGTTTATAAATATATCATTGATTAACAGTTAGAAAGTATCACATGGAAATGAATATATATATTTTTTTAAACTGAGAAAAGATATATTTAAAAAAAATGCATATTTTTAAAAAACGCACCTGCTTAATTCTGTACTTTTAGTGAAAACCATTATTGGAGAATTAATATTATGTTTATCAATGAAGGGCAAATTGGACGTAAATGGTCTCTGAAAAAAATACGTATAACGACAAGACCCCTATAAAATCCGCCATTTGCAATGTACTTTTGGTCTCAAATCTTAACATTTGGACAAAATAAACAGGGAAACAGCTTTCCAGAGAATATCAAAGTCCAACCTGCTCTTCATTCATAAATATAAACTGTTTCTGCAATGATGGCTTTCAATAAAGTACAGAATTAATTAGATGTTACAGTATTTTATAAAATATATTCAATTTTTCTCGATTATGGCATGTCAAACGTTGCAATATTTGATAATCTTGTGATGTATATTCAAAATCTTGTGATGTATGTTCGAAATCTTGTGATGTATATTCGAAATCTTGTGATGTATATTCAAAATCTTGTGATGTATGTTCGAAATCTTGTGATGTATATTCAAAATCTTGTGATGTATGTTCGAAATCTTGTGATGTATATTCAAAATCTTGTGATGTATATTCAAAATCTTGTGATGTATGTTCGAAATCTTGTGATGTATATTCAAAATCTTGTGATGTATGTTCAAAATCTTGTGATGTATATTCCATATCTTGTGATGTATATTCTAAAACTTGTGATGTATATTCTAAAATCTTGTGATGTATGTTCGAAATCTTGTGATGTATATTCTATAATCTTGTGATGTATATTCAATATCTTGTGATGTATGTTCAAAATCTTGTGATGTATATTCAATATCTTGTGATGTATATTCGAAATCTTGTGATGTATATTCTATAATCTTGTGATGTATGTTCGAAATCTTGTGATGTATATTCGAAATCTTGTGATGTATATTCAATATCTTGTGATGTATGTTCAAAATCTTGTGATGTATATTCAATATCTTGTGATGTATATTCGAAATCTTGTGATGTATATTCTATAATCTTGTGATGTATGTTCGAAATCTTGTGATGTATATTCGAAATCTTGTGATGTATGTTCGATAATCTTGTGATGTATATTCGAAATCTTGTGATGTATGTTCAAAATCTTGTGATGTATATTCAATATCTTGTGATGTATATTCTAAAACTTGTGATGTATATTCTATAATCTTGTGATGTATATTCGAAATCTTGTGATGTATATTCTATAATCTTGTGATGTATATTCAATATCTTGTGATGTATGTTCAAAATCTTGTGATGTATATTCAATATCTTGTGATGTATATTCGAAATCTTGTGATGTATATTCTATAATCTTGTGATGTATGTTCGAAATCTTGTGATGTATATTCGAAATCTTGTGATGTATATTCAATATCTTGTGATGTATGTTCAAAATCTTGTGATGTATATTCAATATCTTGTGATGTATATTCGAAATCTTGTGATGTATATTCTATAATCTTGTGATGTATGTTCGAAATCTTGTGATGTATATTCGAAATCTTGTGATGTATGTTCGATAATCTTGTGATGTATATTCGAAATCTTGTGATGTATGTTCTAAAACTTGTGATGTATATTCTATAATCTTGTGATGTATGTTCGAAATCTTGTGATGTATATTCTATAATCTTGTGATGTATATTCAATATCTTGTGATGTATGTTCAAAATCTTGTGATGTATATTCAATATCTTGTGATGTATATTCGAAATCTTGTGATGTATATTCTATAATCTTGTGATGTATGTTCGAAATCTTGTGATGTATATTCGAAATCTTGTGATGTATATTCAATATCTTGTGATGTATGTTCAAAATCTTGTGATGTATATTCAATATCTTGTGATGTATATTCGAAATCTTGTGATGTATATTCTATAATCTTGTGATGTATGTTCGAAATCTTGTGATGTATATTCGAAATCTTGTGATGTATGTTCGATAATCTTGTGATGTATGTTCGAAATCTTGTGATGTATATTCGAAATCTTGTGATGTATGTTCGATAATCTTGTGATGTATATTCGAAATCTTGTGATGTATGTTCAAAATCTTGTGATGTATATTCAATATCTTGTGATGTATATTCTAAAACTTGTGATTGTATATTCAATATTCTTGTGATGTATATTCAATATCTTGTGAGGTATGTTCAAAATCTTGTGATGTATATTCAATATCTTGTGATGTATATTCGAAATCTTGTGATGTAGGCTATATTCTATAATCTTGTGATGTATGTTCGAAATCTTGTGATGTATATTCGAAATCTTGTGATGTATGTTCGATAATCTTGTGATGTATATTCGAAATCTTGTGATGTGTATTCTACAATTCAGTGATGCGTGCAATAAAATTGCATGACGCAACAGAAAAGTAAGGACAATTTTCATTGGTTAGAAATAACGAAAGTAGCCGGAGCGGTCGTAATGCACACATTGACACAACTTCGCAAGCATGAAATTGGCGAATTCAACCTAAAGTCAAAATTATAGGTAATAGAAAAATTGTTTTGGTATCAAGAAGCACTAAGTCAGTCATAACGTGAAAAGTGGGAATCAAGAACATTAATTTGATTTGTTTGAAGGTACATCAAAAACAATTTAGTGGCTTATTCAGTTATTGCTGGACTAAAGGATGTTTTATCCTATTTTTACGTCCTCATATTGTAGTGATGTTGATTAATCGGTATGATATATTCTATATTGGTGCTAGTTAGAATAATCTAACTGTGTCTCGGGACAAACTCTCACCACGCAGGGTTCGAAATTGCATGGCCCATTGCAGCTGCATTGACCGTAGCACTAGTCCAGGGACGACTTTGCAATAAATAAATAACACGACAAATTTTTAGGAGAAGGTGAATGTCAGGAAAAGATTAATTGCTATGCATCATTGAATATTGTCATTCACAAATTTGTCCAATTATTTTTATAGTAAATGTATTGAGCCGGGCTCATTTACAGGATAATGAACAAGGACTGTGGTGACAGTTTAAAATCACGTTCAGACGTTTAGAGAATATGTAATACACACAAAAATATCTCAATGGCATGTATAATATTAAATAGTTTTAAAAATAAAATAAAATATAGCTAGAAATTAACAGCGAAAAATATTTATCACGTATCGTTTTGGGGTAATCCGGTTTTATATACAAACAGAAGTAAATAAACACCGATGCAGCAAGATTAAGGTCAAACGTCTCTGCACTGATGTGTCCTCAGCGGGGAGATTTGCATCAAGTCATTAATGATGTTCCCTGCATTTGTGTTAGCCTGATAGTACAACCTTTATTTATAGAATCAATCTAATTCAAATTAGATGTTAGATCCGCTTGCATACTCGCTACACTAACATCTAACAACATCCCGTTGAGGGTCACTTCAGAGGTCAAATTCTATCAATTAATCAAATCGCAGCTGGCAAAATCATCATATATTGTTGAAGCAAATAAATCTTGAGGCGTTCCGAATTTAACCTCTTACGTGACCCTCAATGGGATGACTTGTTAGATGTTAGTGTGTTGAGTATGCGAGCCGATCTAACATCTAATTTTAATTATATTGTTTATAGAATATGATGCAGACAGGGATACCTGGTGAAAACCTTTCGCACCCGTTGAATTACTTTGTAAAATATTAGTCAAAGGAGCCAGGAAAAAATATTAAACAATTTAATATTATGATAAAAATATTCAATTTACTATTTCTTAAGGTGATTTGTTTTCTCAACAGCGGCTGGTCACGTACCATACTTTTACTCGTAAACTCAATTTGGCGGTGAAGAAGCAGCATTTTCTGTTGCTCACCGTCGCTATAGCTGAGCATTGCTCTACGAGCAATGTGCCCGGCTAAAAATCATAATATTTGTAATGATATATCATATTCTAGACTTGACATACAATAAACAATGATAAGAATTATTGTCGCATATCTGCAGTGATTTTCTTTGATCTTTCTGTGGTGATAATTTATCCCATATCACATGTGTGATAATACTTTCCAAACATGTTTCAAAGTTTTTACACTCTTTATCATACAGTTTTAAAGGACAGTTTTATGAGCTCATAAGTATATTAAATGGTTAATTTATCAAAACCTGCATTTAAAAATTCAGAAGTCTTAAGTTAAACCAAATTGTCCAGGGTATTCTTAGTAAGGTATGTCAAAGGTCATGGTTAAGTGACTTTGTAAGGCTGGTATTTTTTCTTTAGTTTTATGGCAATCAGTGCACATGGTAAATATCATAAAATTACCCCTTAAAGGTCTTATGCAAGGAGATAGCCAATCAAAATGAACAAATGTAGTTCTATGTATGATGTATATAGAGACAATAATATTTCTTTTCTTTTTTCATTTTCAGGAACTTTACGTAGGTCTACAGTTTTAATGTTGGACTCATGCACTAGGAATATCATATCAGCAGAATTGTGCCACTGAATCAAAGGGAACTCTTTTTTTTTTAGGTACGCATGATCGATGTAACTTCCTTGATGGTGTGTTGGCTGTTTGCCCATGTGTATTTCGGGGTATATGTATGTTTAGTCTCAATTTTCTTTCTTAAAAGCTGCATAAGGGGTATATTTTTTCTGATCTCAAATTTTGTCTAAGCATTAATCTTTTTTCTCATTCATGAATTATCTGCTGAGAGTCTAGTTAATTAATTTATTTAATTAAAGCTATATAGTAACATATAGTGAAATTATTGCCTTGTGTGAGACCTAAAGAAAATCAGGTTACTCATTTTTATGACAATTTCTTTGATTTCAGGAGTAGCCTCCCCTTTTAAAGATCCAAAATGGTGATTTTAAAGTGCGGCATGCAGTCTGTCATCAACGAAGAGTTTTGACACCTGTAATACCCATATTTCTACCATTCACCTCTGTAACCTTTGTTGAGTTCATCAGACTGGTAAGAAAAACAATATTGTTAATTGAAATAATTTTATCAAGATAAATAAAATAATTAATGAAAAAAAAATTACATGAACAGACTCCCTCATATAAGAAAATGTCACATTTTAAACATTGCAATTATACATCATTTACATATCCACATTTTCCCCATTTACACATGCAGTTGAATAGATTTAGTGCTTAATAATACATAGCAACAATTATTACATGAATCCTAAGACAATTCACAAAATACATGAATGCATTAAACTGTGAAATACAGATTTCGTACATTTAATTAAAATGCACAACATCAGTACCCCCCCCCCCCTTCAGAATCTAAAAACTTTCTTTTTAATTCAAAGTCACTAGGCAACACTAAAGATTTCCACTTATTGCTTTTCAGTCCAAGACAGGAAGTTGAGGAATAAAGTTGACAGGACATCCTGAACTGTCCTCGCTACCAGCTTATGAGGGAACCAGCTGCAGTGGACAAAGTACGTTACATCATAGGATAATAGGTAAGTCTCCGGAGTAGTGTTTGTAGCAATTCTCGTACTTGGTCCTGCATCGAAGATTCAGGACTATTGATATTTATCTCTGCATGGTTTGGTTCTTCCCAGAAACATGTTACTGGTGGTGGTCCCTATATTCTTCTGGCTTTTGTGGTGAGGAATGTTTCATTTCTAGCTCTTTTCTGATCACATTTTGTCTATCTAGCTGTTTGTCTGTCTGTCTGTCTGTCCATCTGTCTGTCTGTAAACTTTTCATATTTTCGACTTCTTCTCTAGAACCCATGGACCAATTTCAACCAAAGTTGCCACAAAGCATCCTTGGGTGAAGGGGATTCAAGTTTGTTCAAATAAAGGGCCACACCCTCATTCAAGGGGAGATAATTGGGAATTAATGAAAATTTGATGGTATGTTTTAAAAATCTTGTTTTCAAGAACCACTGTGCCAGGAAAAATGAAACTTATGGAGAAACATCCTCAGGTAGTGTAGATTTAAATTTGTTCAAATCATGACCCCCGGGGGTAGGGCGGAGCCACAATGGCTGACCAAAGTTTAACATAAAAATATATAGGAAAATTCTTTAAAAATCTTCTTCTCAAGAATGACAAAGCCATAATTGATCCTATTTATATGGAAGCATCCTCAGGTAGTGTCAATTCAAGTTTGTTCAAATCATAACCCCCGGGGTAGGGCGGGGCCACAATGGAAGATCAAAGTTTAACATAGAAATATAAAGGAAAAATCTTTAAAAATCTTCTTCTCAAGAACAGCAAAACCCTGATTGATCATATTTATATGGAAGCATCCTTAGGTAGTGTAGATTCAAGTTTGTTCAAATCATGTTCCCCGGGGGTAGGACGGGGCCACAAAGGATGATCAAATTTTATATAGAAATATATAGGAAAATTCTTTAAAAATAACCTTCTCAAGAAAAGCAAAGCCATGATTGGTCAAGGGACTACTTTTGGATTTAAACTTTTCAATAAAAAACCAATTTTTACTTTTTCCTAGCCACAGTGCTCAGGTGAGCGATGTGGTCCATGGGCCTCTTGTTTTTTTGTTTTTTTTTTAAAATGATCAATCATTAAATATAAATAAATCAGTTGTTAAAAAATTTGCTTCATATTTGAAGTGCTTTAAACCGACCCTTTGATGAAAGTGACCAGTGTTTTTTGCACCTTGGAAGGTTTATTGGTAAAATATAAGAAGGAAGTTATGATTTTGGTGTCACTATTGTTGTTATTTAAGTTTGATTTGATTTTTATATTACGAGTATTATGAAACTGTTATTTTGTTACTGAACGATGGTTAATTTTAATTGTGAACAAATGTACAAAGATGAGGAGTATAATATAGTTGGCTATGTATATTGCCCAATTTTTGAACATATTATGTAATAAATATTTAATAACAACCTTTGAATAATTGGAAAGACAATATTATAAATATGATAGCATTTTTGTACATGAGCATACATTTTTGAAAGGAAAAATAAATTATTCAATTGCATTAAAAAAAATATTTTGTTTCATATTCTTGCGAATTATCAGATCATTCTTCTATTATTTAAATACTCTGTCATTATGAAACCTTGTTAATAATTAAGTAAATATTAATTGTACATTTGCACCAATTTTTACATGGCATTTTCACACTAAGAATGCCACGTGCAAAATTATATACAGGAACAATTCTGAACAAATATATGCAAGTGAGTTGTAAATTTGATATGTAATGCATACATTACAAAAACCCATGACAGTGTTCACTAAAATGAAATGTATGGACTCTTATATAAATACTTGGTATATGTGATATGGATATTATGGATGATATTTTTGAGAATGACACAAGTAATGAAATTTTTCAGCATTGAATTGGATTCTTGAACCAGAGCCATGTGAACCTGGTCCACCTGTACCTCTCATTGAAGACCTGTTAACATCACCAGAGTATGTTCATTCTGATACCCCTATGGTATGGTTACAGCATGCATTATCCCTGAATCCATTAAAAGAGCTGCATTGGCAACGAAACAACCCAATGTGGTCGATTGTAAGGAAATATAGCATATCAGCTTCCAACTTTGGTGCAGTTCTCAGTTCTAAGCAAAGGCGGTAAGACGTGTGATTAAATTTTTGCGAAAAAGACTTTTAAAATTACAGTCAAACTTTGTTATCTCAAACCCATTATCTCATATTTCATGGATATGTCACAGTAATTTTGAAGTCCAAACCATTTATAAAAGACTGGGACATTTTATTCTTGATAACTCTTTATGTGTTATTCTTGAATCCACGGATATTTCCAACATTTTTCTTGGTCTCATTGAGTTTGAGATAATGAGGTTCGACTGTAATGACTAGATATTTGTACATAAAGATGCAGGAAATATAAGATTAATAACCAAAAATCATATTTTCTTCTCCAGATTGACATTGTCACTGAAGAAACAGCTGATGTCGGCTTACAATCTGGAGTCCATCAAGGCTGTTGCATGGGGTATCACTCATGAAGATGATGCTTTGAGAAAGTATGAAAAGGACTTAGATGCAGCTGTAGAGCAGTCAGGTATACAGCACAAAATAACATTCATTCAACCTCTGACATGTTAACATTCAATGTGTCAAAACAAATAGCAGGACTTATCCTGGTGACAAACAGAAATCAATTACTGAAGTCTAATTGTAAAAAAAACTAGAAATATGTCCATAGGACATGAATGCCCCGCCGAGGATATATTAGTAAAGCAACATGAAATTTGTACATGTATAAAATTTGATCAGTTTGGTTCAGGCAGGGCTTATAGTTAGTTGGGAATAAAAATGTAGGTCCAGCATCCAAAGCAAGTCTGGTAGTGTCCATCCCTAGATGCATCATCCACGCAAGTTTGGTTCAGGTAGGGTTTATAGTTACTTGGGAATGAAAATATAGGTCAGATCCAGCATCCGAAGCAAGTCTGGTAGTGTCCATCCCTAGCTGCATCATCCATGCAAGTTTGGTTTAGGTAGGGCTTATAGTTACTTGGGAATGAAAATGTAAGTCAGATCCAGCATCGAAGCAAGTCTGGTAGTGTCCATCCCTAGATGCATCATCCATGCAAGTTTGGTCTAAGTAGGGCTGATAGTTCCTTAGGAATAAATCTGCTCCAAAAACTTCAACCTGGTCACTCATCTGGAAAATGTAGGTCAGATCCAGCATCCGAAGCAAGTCTGGTAGTGTCCATCCTTAGATGCATCATCCAAGCAAGTTTGGTCTAAGTAGGGCTTATAGTTCCTTAAGAATGGACCTGCTCCAAAAACTTTAATTTGGTCACTCATCTGGAAAATGTAGGTCAGATCCAGCATCCGAAGCATGTCCGGTAGTGTTCATCTCTAGATGCATCATCTATGCAAGTTTGTATCAACATGTAAAGTTTGATAACACCATCTTGAATGGTATGTTTAAAACTGAGCTAAACACTATTTAAGAAAAGTCAGGTCAAGGTCAAAAAATGTTAATGCAGTTGCATAGCTCTCATCAATATCTATCAGCATATGAAGTTTGATGAAAATATCTTGGATAGTTTCTTTGAAACTTAGCTTTGAACAGAGCTAAACACAAAGTGGGACGGAAGGACAGAAGGACGGAAGACGGACATGACAAACACTATATGCCCCGGCCATATTCATGGCGGGGCATAAATATTCAGTTACCAACATATTCCAGAAAATTTGCTTTTTGAAGTGGAAGGATTATAAAAGCTCTACTTAGACTTTGTTTGCATTACAAAATCAATTGTATTATGGTTTGTTTGCATTCAGTAATATTATAATTTTTTCTGAAAAGGATATGGTTGCATGAATCCGGAGTGTTGGGAGCTTCACCTGATGGCTTAGTTGTTTGACCACCAACATGCAGTGTATTTTATCAAACTCCAGAAGCCAAAGACGCCATTCCTAATATTGTAGAGGTGAAGTGTCCATATACAGCATCGTCTTCAACAGTAGCAGATGGGGCACAAAATTTGAAGGATTTTTCATAGGTAAATAACATTAAAAATCTGTATTGTCCAGTACTTTGAAATTAAAAATCTTGGTGAGTAAATGATTTCAAAACATGTATTAATTTACAAGTGCAGCTGTTCAATATGGTATGAAGATATTGAAAAAGGAGGGGATATGTACTGGTATAACACAACTTAAGTGTTTTTTGATTTTTTTTTAGATCTTAAACAAGATACCCTGTGCCTGAAAACCAGTCACCCATACTATCATCAAATTCAAGGCCAGCTACACATATGTAACAAAACATTCTGCGACTTAATTGTGTGGACAAGAGTAGACTGCATTGTGATTAGAATAGTAAAAGACATTGAATGGACAGCAAATGTTCCAAAGCTGATAGATTTCTACATTAACATTTTCATTCCAGCACTGATGGAAAACTGAGTTCTGGTTTGAACTTCTTGACACTTAGTTTTGTACCTCTAGAATTTTCTAACAATGGAAAATGGGTAATCATGTTAAATGTGTTGAATGTTCCTAAGTCTCATAAATGTATGATATGATATGTCACAATCCATCATAAAACTTCTGGCTTATAAGACTATTTTAAATAGCAATGATGATTAATAAAATCTATGTACTACATAAAAAAAGAATATCAAAATTTAGAATCATTTTATTAATGAATTGAAGATGTTATTCTCAAAGTGAAAATGTAACATTTTGGTCTTTCTTAATAGATAAATTGTTGAAAACATGAATTTGTTGAGTTGTGCTTTAAAGGTAAATATACTTTAAACTAGAGATTTAAAATTATAAGTAAACCCTCTTCCAAATTATATTGTCAAATGAAGAATGGAATTGCCAAACATTCTTGTAATAAATCCATGCTAACAAAAGGGATTTTCATTTTCTGAAGTATATGTATTACAACATACTACAAAGTTAACAAATATAACCATTGACATTGATAACAAATCAAAATTTGCTTATCCCTTGCACTTTGGTATGAATATCTTCACTGTTTAGTGTATACTGTCACACGCCAATGCAAATTTATAATAAGTACATGTATCTTTAAGTAATTTCTTTCAAAAGTGGAGCTTGCAAGTTTACAAGACAAGAACAGAGTTGAAATATTTTTGTTGAGATTGGTCTGTAAGTAGATGGTATGTGACGGAGAATCTCGTAATTCTTTATCCTCTCGTTGGCTCTTTCCACATGAATAAGTGCTTTAGCAATCTTGTAACACAGTGCTGCTTCTTGTATGGTAAACTGGCCTCGTGTCGATAAAAGAGCTTTTATAATTAAGCACACACCCTGGGGCAACTGGTCATGAATGGTGAAACCTTTGACCACCAAAATAAGGTCTCCAGCTTTGAACTTTCGTAAAACTTGGCTGTGACGTACAATAGCTACATCAGAAGTAGAACCTGGGTACAGCATGGAGCAAAATGTAAGTGCACCATTTGGAGGCACGCAAGTTACTGCTTTAAAAGTATGGCAACTTTTGTACATACTGTAGGCCATGGCCTGATTATCCATATGTGTTGGGATGTCCTGGATTGTTTCAATTGCATCCATGGATGCTCTAGCAGAGGAAAAATCCTCAAAAGATTTTGGCAGAGACCCTGAAAAAAAGTTGGAAAAAAATTAATTTGATTATTTGTAATTGTGTAAAAAAATTGTGTTACAGTCAATCTTTCAAGAATACAATAAATTTAACTGCATTAAATTTTTGCAAGTCATTATGATAAATTTTAAAACAAACCTTTGCATTTAAGCTGACTTGGAAAACATTCTACGCTACATTCTACACTACGCCATCAGCATCTTGTATAGGGAAAAGACCACTAATTATTTTCCCATGGAACTCCATACAAACCTTAGGCCCTCTCAGTACTTTACTATGACAATTTCAGAAAAATCTTTAGCATCATTTCAAACTTTGTTCTAAGCCCTAACAAAAAATACTGAAAAAAATACATGGTCCCATGGCGTTTATAGGTCAAAATTGCAGTTATTTTCAACTTTTAGAGATTCGCAGTAAAGAACACGCGGCATAAAAAATCAACCCCCACTCCTAAAATCTTCCCTGGCATTTCTATAGTTTCTGTAATATTCCCTCATCCCATCATTTATTTCAAAGGTCATTAATTTTACTTTAAAATGAAAACAATTAAATACCTGATTTCAGCCAATGGCGTAACGCCTACCCATTCAGTATTCGGTTTAATGTTCCATAACAAACAAAGCCATGTGTGCATCCGGGGATTTGGTGCTCTCATTCCTATACTTACATACTTACCTGTCCCAGAATTAGTCAATTGTGGTAATTTCAAAGACTATACACCTACCTGTGAACATGTATGAAATTTGAGTCCTGTGACTTCAGTGTATTGGATACTGTGACCATCTCAAATGATGACACCTTACTGCTACCAGCACAATTCAAAGGATTGAATGACGTCTGGGCCGGTGATGATATTTGGATATATTGGTGACTGTAAGAAATAAAATATTTGTACAATGAATTGTTTTTGTGCTTTAATGTTAATAAAGTGATATTAAGTCAAAATTGAGTCAATAATTTCGTAAGGGTGGATTCTACCCAGAATTACGTAAAAAGCTCCAAAATTGGATAAATCGTAGTTAATTAAGCAAAATTCAAAGGTTTTAAAAAGACTGATATAGAATTTTTTTATGCTTATGCAAAGGATATTATTTAAGACTCTGATATACTAATTGATTCTTATCTAATCCCTCCTATTGCTCAAGTATGTACAAAAAAGTTTCCCCACCCCCCAGTGAAAAACGCTTAAAGAAATAGCAGGTGCCCCCTTTTATTTTTGTTTACAATTAATTTAGACAAGTTTAAATCAATCCTTTTGATAACAAATCAAAGTTCAATGTCTGTAGTCTTATACTTTACAATCAGAAGCTACTTTTTGAATTTTATTCTAAGAAAAGGAGAATTTAAATAATTTTTTTTAAAAATTAAAGAAAAGCAAAAACTGACTTCAAACCCCAAAATGTACTATACAATAAGAGGCTGGAAAGTTAATAAATAAAAAATTTACCTGCAATGTACAGAAAACTGTCCGACAAAATACATCGGGTGGGTAGGGGAGTCTCCATTTTCTTCTTATATAGAGAAAATGCCCCTGCTGATCAGAGACCTAACACTCCCAAATAATAACAAAATATGTTAACATAACAGTCAATCTAAGATGTTCATCCCTCAATGGCAACAAGTTTTTATTACAGTAACTGAAATTGTTAGGAAATAGGAAATCACAATTGGAATTCCTTTAAATGTACCTTCTCTTCGTTGTATTTAATATCGTGGATTGATATTGGCTTCCTTTTACTAGACTCTATTTTTAGGGCAAGCAATTCCTTTTCCAGTTGTATTTCTGTTGAGAGGCGCTGCATTTCTTGAGTACAGTTAAATGTGCAGGATACTAAGTAGTTGTGCTCTGATATCAACTGAAAATATATTGTAAATCATGTACAGTTAAAAGAACTTTATACATTATTAAAAATTATTGAAAATGTTTCAGTGTTGGTCATTTGTCATCATTGGTGTTTTAAGAGCCATTCTCTGTAATGATTTGAAATTTTATATAGGAACTGTGGCACGCATAGTCTCAGAATTTCTCCAAACTCTCTATGATAAAAGGCATTGATACCCTGAACTGAAATCAGGCAAAAATTGGTTGCTATGTTTTATAGTTACCATGGCAACATGTCTTAAAGTTCGAAAAATGGCATTTTTTAACATGTTTAGAGCCCCATAGTTAACATTTGCGGCAAAGCAAACAATTGTTAATGACTGTTTCCAAAAGTTGAAGGTAAGATGTCTCAAATGCATGATAAACATGTTTGGTAAATCAACTATTACATACGTTACTATGGTAACAAAGTATTCAAAAATGAAAAAAATATTCATTGAATTTTATGAAGTCATACTCGTAAAAATGAAAAGCAATTATAGGATGAAATGTTACCAAATAATAGAAAAAAGAGCCTTGAAACACATACCAAGAAAAAATATGATATTTCATTTTGGTTGGCAATGGTTGCCAAGGTTTTTATGCCCCAGAGAGCTTCAAAGTAACACTATGTATGTTTAAATATGATCCTATCTTTTAAAAAAAAGCACATTTCCTCATAACTAATGATCAATTTTATAAGATGTTGGTGTGCTCCAAATTTTCCCATTTCAAAAAATTCAGATTAGATTCTTTAAATAGAGCGTTGCTATGGAAATAAGCAGAAAATATATGCTTAAAAACCTGAAAAATATTTTGTTTCCTTGGATACGTACCCTTAAATGTAGATTCCCAAAACTTTTATGATTGATATTTATTAACAGCTAACTTGACTTTTAATTTTGACTATCATCCAATCTCTAAGTGGATGCAAGAAGTTGGCACACAGGGTTTAATATTGATATAAAGTTAAAAAAATCGAACATTTTCCCTTCTTGGTAACCATAGCAACAGTGTTGTTTTATTCATCAAATTTTATCAATATATGATATTTAACTTCAGTTCTAACAGATAAGACTATTCCAGCTGAGCTCTTTAATTTGTTTCTTGATTAAATGGCAATTCAATTCTTAATGCAGCGGAAAAAAATTCACTTTTAAGCACTGGTACTTTGTTTCCATGGTAAAACTACAAAGTAGCAATTATACCCAATTTTTCTTATGGTTTTGGTGTTGCAAGGTCCTAAGGATGCATATTTGCCAGTCTTGAATTTTCATGTTTTTCCTCAAGACAGTAGCATTAACCCAATCTTAGTTACTGGTTTTGCATGGTTACACTTTGTTACCATGGCAACCATAAAAGTTATTTATAGAATAAAATTGCTTATACTTATATACTTAAGGTCAAACATTTTCATTGTTTTTCTTAAGTCAATGATTGAGTTTTAGCATGTAACACCTACCATTAGTGAATATGGAGTGTTTTTCAGCATATTTCAGCATTTTAAATGTATTCCAAATGTACCCTTGGTTACCACTTACTTAGAGATATATTCTAAACAGTTTCTTCACAGTATAAGTGACATCAAGGTGTCATGTTTTTGTTAGAGTGGTTTGTTTGCTTTTTCTAGTTTTTATTAAGCCACAGTCAGGATTTAAAGTGGCTGAAAATCTCGATTTTTCAAACTTTTCCGGCTGTTGCCATAGCAACCGTTACACTTAGCAACGAAATTTTGTTTGATATTTGTTTCTGGTGTCAAGTACTAAGCATAGGTGAAGTTTCATCAAAATCGGTGACCATGCGTGGCAACGAAGTTTAAGTGGTTACAGAGAATGGCAATTAAATGAGCTTTACTTTTTCTTGATATTGACATTTTGGTGCTTGTGGAATCTGCAACTGGTCCATCTGTGAAGATGACAGGGACTCCTCACTTTTGAGTTTTTTCCTCCTTTGTAAAATAATTAAACTTGAATTATTTTTTTATTCAGTTGTAAGCTACTCTGTTTATACATGTACCCTTTTAAAGTTTTTTAGTAAAATATTCTCAATTAAACTCCACCCACCCACCATCCAATAAAGTGCCACGCCACAGCATGATACGCCCGTCAAAATATTACACAATTATCTTTAACAGTTTAGACTGCAAGAAAATCACTTCAACCTTGATTCTAAGATTTCCATGATTTTTCCATTTTTAAAAAAAATATTTCTTTATCCATCCCCTGTGCTGTAGGCATAATTATAACAAATATTATATAACTGACAGA